TATGATAAATAGTATATTTTGGATTTGTTTACTTATGTATCTTTGCTTGTTATGCGCATTCTGTGTATTTTTGCGCCTTCAAATTTTCGAAAAATGCATACAAATCCGCAGTCTTCTAATTAGAATATAAATTTCATTATTTTTTTACGCATTAGGCTGGGTACCTTTTTCTTTCAAATTTTAGTACCTTTTCCTTTCAAATTTTCGTACCTTTTTCTTTCAAATTCTCTGGTAAAAAGTGGTAAAGGTGTGAAACAATCGATTTCAACTCTTCCATCCATTTTCATAGACAAAAGTATGCTCCTTCCAATGAGACCACCCCGCATTTTCTAGAATAATTATTGGCTCCACAATTCACAATTAAAATCATACATTAATAATTAAACCAGACAATTATTTGTCACATTAATAAAAATTCCATAATGTCTCTAAAAAATGAGAAAATCAACAATTTTCTTTTTCAAGAAGAAATAGATGAAGTGTCTTCTTCCACCCTGGACCTGTTCGAATCTTGAGCCGTAACTTTAAACGCGTTTATCTCGAAAAATCGTTTTCCCACCCTAATCTCCTTTTACCAGAGCACATCGCGTACAAAAAAATTACAGTATTCCCAACGAAACTTCTACCATCGACTAACAACAATAGGATACGAAGAGCTCGTGACAGACGAACGAGGCCTGCGGTGATTCACATACATTCACATCAACGTTCATTTACCTAAACGAAAAACGACCGTCTGATAGCGGGTCGGGGCCCTTGCTTCGTTGCAAATAGAAACAAAAATACATCATATAAAAACATTCTCTCGAAAAAAGAAACTTACTGTCATGCTAAAAAACATCGGACAATGAGAGATGACCAAATTCATAGAGAGAGAGACACATCGCTCGAGGGTGACTGAAAATATACTAAAAATGCATTCTTAGAAGAAAATGGGGATGTTCGAAGATCAATAGTAACGTGACATTTGAAATAAAATCGCCGGTGAATATATTCGTGATTAATTGCTTCGAGATATTTGTAAAAGAGAATACTTCTTCTTTTTCTCTCTCGTTTACCTGATTTGTAGTTCAATTTCTCAAACGGGTCAGGCCCCGTGGCTTTGATATCTGTTTCCTGAAGAGGTTCTATGCTCTCCAGACTGTCCCTGTCCGGGCTCTTATCTTCAGGCTCGATTTTATTCTCCTGCCTTCGAGTTCCAGCGGACCTCGACGAGGCTATTTCCTCGTAGGTCATGCCCGGAGGATATTTCCTCATGCATCGCGACATATTGGCGGTGACGCTACCCTGACGCTCCAATTTGTGCCTCGCCATCGCCTCGTAATCTTCGTAGGACAGCCCTGCCCCGAATCTGCGTGGACAGTTTGACTGAAGTTTCAATTCTGCCTTAGATCAAACACCTTCTTTTTCATTTATCAGTGATTTCTTAACGCGTACAGAATTAACTTAAAATTTATTATTTTCTTGCGTATTTTGTTTCTTTTTGAGAAGCATTTCTTAACGTGGTTATTTAAGGAACATTGTGTGAACTGGTTGAATAGTGTAAAATTGGAGATCAAATATTGGAGATATAGAAGAATTTTGTTTGTAGATTCTAGAACGTGTTAAGCAGTTTTTGTAAAATGTAGAGATGTGTGAAGCACGAGAAACCACAAAATATTGAAAACTTGACATAAGAATGTGCTGTTCAGGATGTACAGCTACCATCACATAAATAAGATATGATAAACAAGAACCACATGTTGGCCTTGGGTGACTAACTGGTCAATTTTATCGATGATCTATGGGTAGACTGTGCATTCTAAGTTTCATTCCACTAATAACGGGGGTTTCTAATTTTAACACTGAAATATATGAGAAAAATATTTCCGCCATATAGAAGTATCCTTAAATGTGAAAATTTAAGAAAACAATCTTTTTCGTTGAACACTTTCACTGTCGTAAAAAAATATTGATCTACTTAACAAGTGTCACTGTTCCTTTTTTTGGTAAATTTGGATAATTCGACACATTTTTCACTATAAATATATTTTACAATTTTTTAACTACTTTGTAAAATGTTAAAATAAGTCTAAACGTTCAAATCTCGTTCCTAACTAATAAATAAATGACATTCGACACACTGTCGACACAGGCACACAGTCATTTCATATCCACAATATTTCAACTTGACAGTGAAAGTGTTAATCTTACTGCTTCGTGCAAAATTGATCAAAGATCCCACTTTTTCGTACCTAATCATTTCATCGTTACTGAAAATAAATATTGATAATTTAAGCCAAATTCTGATCGTAAAGAAATATCGATCGACACAAAATTTGAACCAATGATCCAATATATTACCACAATCAATTTGGGAATTTATAATTGTAAAAGTAATGAAAAATTATGATCAGCCCTTCCGTAGGCAACTAAAATGTTCACAGTTGCTTCAAAGTTAATTTTTAGGATCGCATAAATTTTTATTTTGGAAACGTACATCACCGTAAAAAGTGTCCAAAAAGTGGAGATCCAGAGCGATTTCGCGATACTTTCACAAGAACATCAAAAAATTGTCAAAGGAAAGTATAGAAAGGGTTAAACGGTTAAATTACGATCGTAAAGCCATCGATCGACACAAAATTTACCGAATAGTCGAATACATTCGAGGATTTACGATCTAATTTCCAATCTAACCGTACACCCTTTCTCCCACATATTTCACATTTACTCCTCGTTCAATAAGTGTCCTGACAACTACAGAATAAAAGTGTACGTCGCTCTGGTACCCAAAAGGGCTAATCAAATCAAAGTCTAGACGACGTCCAATTGATTATCTCTAAAGCGTGCACTGTTCGCCGTGTTTCAGACCACTTACGAAGGGGTTCGCGAGACAGGGACGTACTTTGGGAGCCTTAATTTCCTCCTAGCCAATGGTTCTTCCGACTTGGCAGTCTGAGGTGGTGCTTGTGGCGACGAGGGCGGTGTCGACGGGGTCGTGGTCAATTCACTTTCTTCTAAACTGCTACTTAGAACGGACCCTATTCTGCTACCAAGACCCTGAAGATACTCTCCGCTGCCTCCTAACGCAGACCTGACAGACCTGAGTGCACCTCTGGTGCGTCCAATTAGGGACGCTCCGCCACTGGATGGTGGAGCCGTTGTTACGTCCACCATCTTCTGCGACACACACATAACAACGCTGTGAGTATTTGATATTGGACAGAGCTTTTTTTCCCTGAAAGTAGCTAAAGACACGCTTTTGTTTTTAATGTTCAAGTCTCTTTGTGTACTTTACATTCTTCTGTGAATTTCTTTGCCTTCTAAGGGGCTGAAAGCTCTCGGTTCTTTCGAATTCTACTGAAAAATGTCGTACCTTTGTTGCCACCCTGAAGCAATTTCTCCTGTATTCGACTTTTATTGCTGAACGAGAGTACTTGGGGCACATGACGTTATTTCAGACTCGAGAGAAAGCAGAAATGCGGAAGTATGAATGTTTTTTTGATTACAGTGAGTTAGAAAGCTTCAAATTTTTTTATAATTGCAATGAGAATTAACGGTGATGAACTTTTCAAAATCTTTACGTATAATATTAAAAAGGAGAGTAATTAAAAACACTTGCTTTATATTTTAAAGCGCACCAAAATTGATAAATTTTAAATTTATTGCCCAAAATTAACAAATCTTAATATTAATAATAATAACGACAATAACGTCTTGATTGCTCATTTCACACAGATGCAAAGAAGACACTATCATGCTTAACCTAATTACAATTAAACGACAGAAAAAAAAAGGTAAAATTGCAATCACCAGCAATCACCAGAATTAAACATTTACTATCATGCAGGAGTTGAGTGATACTCAAGACGAGAAGCACAGTCAAGAATTTCGCATGCAAATCTTGATTTACAGCAGGCACCAAAATTGTCGCCTAAGTGAAACCGTATTATTGCCGCCTAAGATCGTAAAAATTGTCCGTTATCGCGTGGAAACGAGCATTGTTGTCGTTACAACAGCGAAATAGGGAACAATTTCAGATAAGGAATAAAAAGCGCATTCGAAATGCATATAGGTCACGGAGGACACGTACCTATAGGTGAATGTGGCTTAATATCGGAGCTTCGTACGCGAAGTGATAAAAGGGGAAAAAAACCTGTTAAAACTAGGAAAGGACAGCGGCATTTTGCATAGAGATAAAATTGTGTCAACCGGAATCGTGAATAAAATACTCGTGCCATTAGCGTGTTATCGACAATGCTCGTGTTATTCACGTAATAGGCAAATACTACGTGGAAATAATTGTGACACGATTTATGTAGATTCACGTTGAAAAATAATTTCTAACGTTTTGTAGATTTTCCGTAACGTTCAATTCTTTTAAATCTCTATATTACCAGGGAAAGTATTTTTAGATCAAAATTGAATTGAATTGTAATCGGTAGTGTATGGGGTGGTCTAACGAACTTTGCTCAAATCAGGATATCGTGCAAAGTAGTTTATTTCGGACTCTCCGGCGTCCGTCTATTACCGAAGCTAAGAACCGAAAGCTATCTCGTCGAAAGGCCAAGATATCACTGGGCCGAACCGATGGGTCCTCGGGCCCGGTGTTTGTCACTCGCCAAGAGGCGCAGGCCAAGCCATAAACCGTCCCAAAATGTCTACAGTAGAAAAATAGAAGAAATTATTACCTTATAGGAGAAGAACGAATTTCGTGTTCACTTTTTTTAAAATCTTTATATTACCAGGAAAAGTATTTTTAGATAAAAATTGACTTGAATTGCAACCGGTAGAAAAATAGAAGAAATTATTTCGCGTTCTTGAGTAGTATCGATTTTCCAATTTTTCTTTTTTTGAGAGCTCTTCAGCTCAAGGTTTCTCGATAGAAATCCTTCAACGTGTGTTTCTATTATTTTCCTAATGTAATTGTACAATACAGCACGTAACGGTTGGATAATGAATCGACACGTGTGCACGTTGTAATTAAACAGAAAGATCGATCGGTATGATATACTTTGTTATTATCAGTTTAGAAGAGAAATACATTTGCATTTGTGAAGACTAATAATTTATATTATCGATTATCTTTGTTTAAAGTAGTAGAGGAGTGTAGGTGCACGAGTAACGTTGCAGAAATATTAGCATGTTTGCACGACAAATATCGTTCTATCAGTCGTATCGGTGGAAAGATGATAAACCTATCTTTCTTTGTCATTTCCATAAGGGAAAAAGTGCAGCCTTCGCGAATTGCGGGCATTTACGTCGAGTGAGCAATTAGAAATGCAATTACGAATTCACCGCTAATTACTGCCAAACGTGAAACGGACAAAAACCTGAAAGTATGACAAGCGCTTTAGTGGATCAAGAAGTTAGGAATAAATAGAATGCAAACGGTTACTATGTACGTGTTACACAGCATTGCAGGTTTAAATGTTCAATGAAAAGTATTATTTAGGTCTGATTTCTCTATATACAATAATTATATTGAAGGAATTAACAGTGATATTCAAAATTGTTCAGGATAACGTCATTCAAAAGTTTTTTCCTCCAGCAAAAGATGCTATACATCAAATTCAAAATGTTTGCCTTTGGAGAAAGATGTAAAAAATATTTCTAAGTGATGAATTATTATTCTAATTATTATTTTACGCATTTACGCAAAAATTTTTTAATTTTTCACGATAACGTTACGTTTAAAATTTTTTTCCTTTAGAAAAGTATGCAAAAAAGAGCCACGTGTTATACACCACATTAAAAAATCTTTACCTCCGGAGAAAGATATAGGAAAATATTTCTAGACGACGAATTATTATTTTACGCATGATTCCATTGACCGAATTAACAGTGACATTCGTGACACTCGAGGTAATTCATGTTAACGTGCAATTAAAGATAAAAAGATACGATAAAAGAGCCGCGTGCTGTATTTTGCAAATTTTATATTACTCCTTTTAATTACACACACCGATTGAAAGGAGAGGCAACTTTCACGAGTGTAGCGAACATGCGACATAAATTGCGTGAAAGAGGAAGGCGTAAACGATGTGGGACGAAGTATGAAAAGTTCTATACACGTAACCATGATTATGAAAGGCAACATTGTCTCACAGTAAACTTTTATCTTTCCTCTTTACCGTTACATGCGCGACACAACCTAACCTTTAATATTTACGCCGATGGTGTTATGCTTGCGGCAATCTCATTCTCATTATCGAGGTATTCGTTAGGTCTATGTACGACACGTAATGAATTAGATTATTTACGGTTACCGTGGAGTGTGATATGAAAGAAGAGCGGATGTACTCTGAGATAACCCATTCTGATCAAAACCACACGCGGAAGCTGATTGCACCGTCATTCGAGTATTTCTGGGTTTCGTGATTTTTATTCAAGAAAGTCGAGGATCTCTTTATTGTAGAAACGTAGACAAAATTTCTTTCTTTAAAGTCCTTATTTTGAATAATAACAATAGAGATTATTGAATAAGAAATATCCTTAAATATTTACTTTACTTCTTTTAATACGCTAACCTGAGAGTATTATATTTTGAATAATAAAAATAGAAATTATTGAATTAGAAATTTCCTTCAGCATTTTCTTTACCCCTTTAAATATACTAATTTGAGAGTATTAACACTCTGAGAGTATTACATTTTGAATAACCAAATTATAGATTACTGAATAAGAAATATCCTTAAGTATTTATTTTGCCTCTTTTAATATACTAATTTGAGAGTATTATATTTTGGATAATAAAAATAGAAATTTCCTTAAGCATTTTCTTTACCCCTTTCAATATACTAATTTGAGAGTATTACATTTTGAATAACCAAAATATAGATTGTCGAATAAAAAATCTCCTTAAGTATTTACTTTGCCCCTTTTAATACGCTAATTCCCCATTTTCCAGAATCATTCGCGAAAAGTCGATTTGAATAAAAAATGTGACACGAGTAGAGATTTGTAATATTTAACAAGCAACGATTAAAATCTTCCTAATTTTACACACGCTTTTATTAACGCTAAAACTACAACATCTGTCAAATTTTCTATTTCATTATAAGTATTAAAAACGTTACCACAACTGTACGAAGAATAATTCACACGTTGCTTTCACTTACAACGAACTTTTCACTTTTCCCTCCCCTAGCAATAACTGTCTAAAAAAAGAAACTTATAAACGTCGTTTTTTTCTCTTTTTTCATTATCTTCCGCTGTACATTTGACAGGCCACTCGAGGTGAAGTTTGTTTGACAATCGTGATCCAACAGGAGGCAACGGACAGAGGCTTTTTCACGACCAGCAAAAGTAGATCATCGATCGTGTCAACATCTCCATCGAAAGTTGGATGCCGCAAGAATTCGAAATTAAGCTGGTAGCATAAATTGCGTGGGTGGAAGCGGATGCAATATCGAGCAACAAGCATGCCAAGGCTGTTCCAGCCCGGACGATACAATTTGACGAATGTTTCGATCGATGCTTATCTACCCCGACGTACGTCTCTATCGTTCACAAAATGTTAACGTACAAGTCGAAAATTGTAAGATAAGAAAATTGACGTTTCACTAATTTAACTAATTCACTAATCTAACCCTTTCACTGCTGTTCGCGCCTGTAGGCGCTTTGAAAATTCCCTAGCACTGTACTGTTCGCTGGCAAATTTTCCTAGCCGTAATCTAATTTCTAATTTTATCCTCCGTACACTTTCACCTTAATTCAATAAAGCGAAGTTTCCAACGATACGGCTGAAATAAAAATTGCCCGAACCAAAATTTGCCGCAGCGAAAGGGTTAAGTGTAAATACGGAAAGAAAATTCAGTGCGTTCAACTGTACAGCTCAAGGTCTCTGGGTCTTTTTCGGCGAACACGCCATACGAATCTAGACGATAAACATTTAACGTAATGTGAAAGGAACGTAAACGTAACAGCAGAAAATTATTTTAAAAAGGTAAGAAAACGACGGGTCAGAAAAGACCCGAAGACAGGACGGTCCAGAAACAAATCTAACCGATCCATTGGTAGAATTGATCGAAGGGAACAGGCGAACTGTCGGTCGATTAAACAGAAACATCAGGTGAAACGACAAATTGCATCGAACGATCTGACGGATTTCACGGATGCGTGAAAACAAGTCGAGGGTTACACTTGAGCGGGACAGCGCCGCAATGCAGCTTTATCTATACCGTGCTGTTCTGCACCATACGGGCCATTGCTCAATTCACCATTTCACAAAGCACACGTTTCCACGAGCACCGGAGTTTATCCATTCAACGTTGCACACTCTTCCATCCTCTCCAATCGAACTGTTCGCCGTTCTATCGTCAATAATCCAACTACGTGCAACACCTACTCGATTACTTACTGTTCCTTCAAATCCAACGAAGTGTCATCCGAGTCGTGAGAACGAAAAAAAATTCGATGCACGAATAGAAACGATATTAAATTAGATTAAAGTCTTTACGCGTTGCGACATTCGAGGAGAGAACTGTACTTTTTGAAAACGATCTTTCAGTCTCGTTCACTACGTCCAGGATTGTTTCATCGTGTTGACACAGTGTTCGTCGAATGTTTCTGTAAAATGTGCTCGTTAGACGTCCGATCCGCTCCTCCAACGCGATCCTTCACGCGATCACTTCAAGACACGTGTCTGACCACGAACGATTCTCGTCGCCGCGACTACTTAAGCCTCGAGCCGTGCATACACCGACTTGCGTTGCCCTTCCATGTGATCCGATTAGCGTGTGCGCATGCGCAACGCGCGATCAATACAGTTTCACTTACCTTTCCCGCGTTTCGCGGGGTTGTCGGTATCATCAGAGACCAGGTATAGAGTTCTGTATTTCGTATTTGATATCATGGTGGAGAAGCATCGATTTTTTGTTAGTAACGGATAATAATAGACCGACTAACGGTAGCGCGAAGGACCTGTTTCTTTGTGAACGTGCAACGATAAGAAGCTTATTAGAACGTTTTTATCATCGGAATAATTAAAGTGATATGTGTTTCGTGTAAGTGCTGCCAGGATTTTCTTTGAAGTTTAGAAAACGTTATTTTAGATAAAAGTTGAGGTACATTTAAGTGCGCATTATTTACGCGAGCAGAATGTTACCTTTGGTTTTTCTTTTTTTGTAATGAAACTGTTGTAATTTTTTAAACACCTTTTTTTTCGAAACGAATCGTGAATTAATTTTGTTGATTTTATTGATTTTATGAAAGTATTAATGCTGTATTTTCATTTAGAATATACAACGTAATATTTGTATCTGTGGAAAATGTCTGTAGTGAAACTTTAGTTTACGAAAGTTGTGCATATTTGAATATAGCCCAACTTTTGACTAAAACAATTTTTCGTAAATTTCAAGAAAGGTTCTGGAAATTTTGTGAAGACACTGCGATAAATATATTACAGTATAATACATATATAATAGATGCATAAGAAGTAACAATTAAAATAATAGGACGCTTCAAAGATATTTAATTGATAAATAAACAAAGAAGTAAATATTTACAAATCTTTAACGAATTTAACAATTGCAAATTTAAGCATACACTGACCACAGGTAGGAAATTCCTTTCGAAATTATTCAGCAAAATAATGTTACACTCGTAAACCTGCATACATGAATATTTCTTCATATTTCTTTTAAACACAGCTCATAGAAGCTTTCTTCCAGTTATAATATTTTACTTGGCATTAAAGGTACGTCAGGCTAACACAATCTACCACATCGTTATCAACTTGTAAATATAATTCCACATAATATCTACAAGCAAGCTAGTTGACACAGCGTTATCAGCTATTTGGAAACAACAAACGAAACTTATCCGTTTCTACGTGAAAGTTTATCTCGGTGCAGTATCCCAAACATTGTATAACCCTCTGTATCATCAACTAAAAGTATCTACCTATTTAAAAATAACCACAATTCCACTATCAATTTTCACCATTCGCCAAAAAAGAAAAAGTACAAAACCCTAGAAAATTTCTAAAAATTGCTTAGGAATTAATAATAATATTTACATAATTGTGACGACCGCCACGAGGGTGCCTACGTACCTAGGAGGTGTAGTATCCCATTGAAAAGAATTAATTTCGATAAAAAAAAAAATTATTTTTAAAGCACATAATGTTCCCCTCTATATCAAACAAATTTCGCAATAATAATGTTTTCATATCTTCAAAGGTTTCCAGATAAAACGGACACACTTAGTCCACACAGCTTTGGGCACACGAATCTTAGACTGGTTTGTGCACTGTATCAATAATAAATGATTTTACATACTTCATTTTGTCCTTGATTACCTCAAAATATACAAAACACAATACCTGAAATTTTCAGCATGTACCTACGTAATTGACATAAATCTACAAAACGTATTTTTTAAATTTTCATTACAGATGTGGCGACCGCCACGGGGGGCCTACGTACCTAGGCCTGGCGACTCTTGGCCCTCGAGGCGAACAGTCGAGAGATGTTTTCCAAACATCTTCGGGTTTCTTCGTCCTCGAGGACACTTCCTGGGACTTTCCCAGGGAAAAAGGGGCTGTGAACCCATTTGCATCCGCGGGATATTCCGCACGTGACGATCGTCACCTATCACCAAGCGCGGACTGTTCCGCGAGCCGCGACTTTCATTTATCACCGGACGCGAAATATTCCGCACACCATCAGTAGTAATAGACTACAGTAAGAATATGGGTGGATTGATGTTGGCGGTGATGCGGGCCAACTGTCAGTTGAACGCCGCTGATGTCTGAACTCACAAGGAATGTTCGCGAACGGTCCGGCTTCGATTTTGATGAAACTTTGTACACTTATAAAGCAGCCAAAAATAATCGACACGTATTTTTTTTTTACAATGCTTAAAATGCTTTTACAATGCTTTTTTACATTGCTTCATTAAAATGAAAGTTAGAACGGCTACTACCATAGTGGATGTGCGCGCAAGATGTAAATCATCAAAATCTGCAAAACTGTAAGAGGCAATTTTAAAATGTTATATACTAATGGATTTGGAATAAAATGCTCGTCATTTTTTGTCATTATGAAAATTTCAATAAAATGAAAAATTAAGTTAATAAATTTTTTTTGTTATAAACAAACTGTATTTTGTTAAATTTTTTAACACCATGTTATTGTACGTCAGAAACCATTAACCTCGCCCATTAACAATTTTTTCGTATGTCTTTCCGTTTTCGAGATAGCCGTTTCGAGCCAAAACTTCAAGGGGTGGTTTCACCCCTTAAACTCGAGTTACCGCAGCTAAAAAAAAATACGTGTCGATTATTTTTGGCTGCTTTATAAGTGTACAAAGTTTCATCAAAATCGAAGCCGGACCGTTCGCGAACATTCCTTGTCAGTAGCATAGGTAGAGTCGTGATGCAAATGGGTTAAGGGAGCCCCGAAAAAGGCACGAGGCTTTTTGTCGTGGACATTCTTACCACGTGCATCGTGTCGCCTACACTTTAAAAATAGTTTAAGCGTTATCTGATTTAAATAAATATATTTTTGCTAAGCAACCTTAGTGTAATAATTATTCTTACACCACGTCACTTCCAAATAATGTATATTACGTTATTACATAAACAATAATATTTTAATATTAATTTTAATATTAATATTAAAAAAAAAATAACTAATCGAGTATTTTTTATTTCTCGGTAAATTTATGCAGAATACAGTACTAATTATACACGAGGTGTATTTATACTTCATATTTGTATTTATATTAATATATATTTCTCCCGTTTCTTCATCTCTGTTTGTTTCATCTTATACGTCTTTACTTAATTACATCACATCAAACGGACACGGTGCTGAAATGGTTGACAATTTTTTTTTTTTCTTTTACCAATTATGTACACATCTGTTGTAGTTAATTGTGCCGACAAACGAACGTTGCTTCCGGGGTCGGAGAAACGACGAATGAAAAAACCGAGGGTAAACGAGAAACGTACCGTTCGATTTTCGTCCTCTCTATTTTCTCTCTCTCTCTCTCTTTCTCCCATGGTAACCACTATCGATCGACTATCTCGATCGACGAGTGTTATTATTAAAAAAAAAAAATTCGACGAAAATCGAACTCACGTTAAAAGTTCAGGATTTAAGGGGTGCTTCTTCTTCTTCTTCTTACGCACATCCGGTGTACGTGTGTATGTACGTGTGTGTCTGTGTCTTTCTGAGTTAGCTTATCATACGAATTACGATTATTGGTCGAATATTGTTTGTCGTGTAATATCGATTCTCGTGTAGCGACCGCTTGTACACGAGCCATGATACCGCGTTCTGGTAATATATATAATATATTTATATTCTTTCTTTATCTTTTATATTAGTTTTCTTTGTTTACTAGGTACACCTAGAGCGAAGCGTTATAATAGATAATACGCGTCGAGAACGTGTTACACAGCTTGACCCTTTCTGTTCTCTTCTTTTTTTTTCTTTTTTGGTACAATCGTAAGACAGTCTCGACGAGTATTTTTTTTTTCTGTTCTACTAAGGAAAGTCCAGTAGTTGTTCATAGAGAGTTCTAGACGATTAAGGTGAGGCTGGGTGATGCGAGCGAAGACGCGTGAAATAGAGCTGAAGAGGAATTGTTTCCGTGGAGAGATCGGCGGAGGAGGATGCAGAAATATGCGCGCGGCTAATAACTCGATAATGGAGAGGAATGATTCTTTGTTCGGTGAATGTACTTAGATATGCGGAAGTCTTTGTGGGAACGAAGCGTTATGAAACGAGTCGAGTTAGATTAGAAGAATTAAAAAGTGAACAGACGGAGTGGAGGGAAAGTTTATTACGAAGAATTTGAATTCGGAAAAATAAGTAAAACGAACAGAATCAACGTCTAATCGAATTAAATTAAATAAATTTTTATGGAATTAGAGTGGAATTTTTTCAGTCGATCAAAGGCTCTTTTTTTTCAGTTCTATTTAAATACGATTACATTTTGTAAATCTATAGTAATTCTTATTATTCATAGTGATTGAATGTAAAAATTAAAAATGAATCTTTTTTTCAATTAATTCGCTCTCGTTCGATATATGAAATTTTTGCTTTCGACTTCCATATACTATTTCTGCATCCAAAATTCACGACCAAGCTTAATTATAGTAAGCTCGTAATTTCCTGCAATTCACAACATGCAACGATCAACGAAAATCGAAAGCGTCTTATAATTGAAAAATGACGTCTTCGCTCGCTCGTTTCCTATCGTAATATTCTCTTAGTACGAGCATGATTCCAAATGTACTGCATTATTCTTGTTTCTTTTTTTTTTTTTTTAATTCTATCACGCATTTTGGCCCCTCATCCGCTGCAAGAAGGAAAACGAACTCGTGCTGTGCACGTAACGAAAAAATGTGGCAAGTGCGTGGTCGCGTCGCGACGAATACCAGCATACAACAAATCGAAATGGGCGCGAGCGTGCCTGGTTATCGAAACGATCCGCTGCAATGAATTCTGAATCTTGTACGTAGTCATTGCTTGGGATAGATCGCACTAAAGGAAAGACGCGAACGTTTCTTTGTTGAACAGGCAACTGATCCCGCCTACAATTT